TAAGATCGGGACTAGACGACGGCCAGTCTTCAGCTCTGATGAAGTCGGAAATGTCGGAATGAAGTCGTCTATATTTTTTATTATGTTTTTGTATCAATCACGAAAAGTCAAATAATCATATGGTTTTGACTATACCTATAAATTACCGATTTTATTACACACACAGCTAACTTGTGTAAAATATACGAGTGCAGCTCGACTGGTTTCAAGTCGAACCGAGATTCATATTTACGTGCCATTAGAAAAGTTAACTTTGATAACCTTTTGGTATATTTATGATATTTTAAGATTTTGACTTTTAGTACTTATAAATTATTTATTGGATTAATTTATTTTGTTTTAAATATACTTTTTACATTTTTATATGATGTGCAATAAATATTTGTATATTTTTTTGGTTTTTTATTTTGGATCCTGTTGCATGTGGGTGCTGACACCCACATGCATAAGAAGCAGGATCCACTAGTATTTGGAGTCAGCTCCAAACTTGGCAAATACTAATGTGAGTTTTTTCGTGTTAAACACTTGTTTTGTTGCAGAGGCTCCAGAACAGTCCAGGTTTCCTCAGTGTCAAATTTTCTTAGTCCACAAACGCCAGGCATAAGAGCAGATTTAGCTCTTTAGTTTTCTGTACAATGTGCCTCACTATACATATGAGCTATGAAGTAGGCTTGGAAATGAATCTAAGTAAAACAAAAATTATGTCCAACAGCAAAAAACACCCTGTATATCTCGATCAAACACCATTAGAATACGTAGACAGTTACATTTATCTGGGCAAACAAGTATCCTTTGGAAAACAAAGCAACGAACTGGAAGTTGAAAGAAGAATCTTAGGTGCATGGAAAAAATTCTGGAGCCTTAAAGAAATATTAAAAGGATCAACGCCTATGAATTTAAAGAAAAAACTAATGGATACATGCCTGCTCCCCTCTATAACCTACGGTTGTCAAACATGGAAATACACCTTACGTGTAAAAAATAAGATTACAACTTGCCAAAGAGCTATGGAAAGAAGCATTGCAAATGTTAGAAAAATTCAAATAATCCCACACAATATCATACGGGAAAAAAATTACCTTGTTGGATGTCCTAAACTTCTCACAAAAGTTAAAGTGGCGTTGGGCTGGTCACGTAGCTAGGTTAATCGATGGTCGTTGGACCTACAGACTGACATTATGGCGGGGTCCCAGAGGAATCAGAAAGAGAGTTGAGACGTTGGGACAACGACATTATAAAGATAGCTGGTGAAAATTGGAAAACAGTTGCCAAAAATAGGGATAAATGGAAAAGTCTGGAGGAGGCCTTCACCCTCACATAAGAGGGGTTCTTGCATGTCTGCATGATGTATTTTGAGTTATTCACCTTATACTTAATAAATACTATTAGATCGAATTTTTATTTATTATAAGTGTAATTTAATTTAATTTATTGAAATTAAATTTGATTTAATTTATTGTAATTTAATTTATTGAAATTATTTTAAATTTTATTATTGTAATGAATCAGTAATTAAATTTATACCTATAATGATGATTGCCTTAACTTTTATAAAAAATACTAATAGGAAATATGTATAATATTGTCACAATGCTAAATAACTTTAATATTTTCATATCTTTGTAAGTAATTTTGCAAGAAATAAAAGGCTTTTTATTTATTTTATTTTTATTTTATTTATTTATTTATACATATGTGTGTATGTGGTCCACGGTGCTATATCTCCCTCGGAAACCGGCCTGTTTAGAAGACTGAAACTCATCGAATTTTCGCGCGAAACGATACGTGGCTCAGAAGAGAAATAGGTCGGTAGTTCTTCGGAAGAATTTTCTCTCGTTTTTTGAAGAAAACGGAATCAAACAAGCGTTTAAGTCGCTCAAGCTCTGGCTTTCCACCTGCCTTTAGGGCCTCCGTTGTGATTTGATCCTCGCGGATTTCCATGTTTAAGCTGCTCTATAGCCAACGCTTCTCTTCACCGAAGCCCGTAACTACCTCGAAAATATTCGGCTTATAAGAGACGATTGCATTGCATTTAATGTAGTTAATCTAATTCTTCAGATGGCTTCGACCTATTTGCTGGATGGAGACTTTTGACCCTCGATTAAGATTTAACGAAGCGACTGTTGGGATTTTGTCTCGGCTATCAATATTCTGCGTCCGCCGCAATTTCGTCACTTCGACACGGGGGATCCCCTACTATTCGGTCCGATTCCTGGTCGATATCAGTGTCATTTATGGTTTCCGAAGCAGCAAACCGGGTTTCCAGTTTTAACTGTAATATTTCAGACACAGCCACGGTTTGGAGCAAGTTCGGTCGGAGGGTAGGCCTCATGCGACGGACACTCTTGGAAATTTCTTTGATATTAGAGTACCGCGTACAAGCCGGTGATCACTTCCAGTTTAATACCTAGTTATAACTGAGACATCTCCAAATATTCGTCTCTTTTCCATGATAATGAACTCTATTTCATTTTACGTCACGGCTCCACCACGTTCCTTCCGTTGAAAAAGAAACCACCATTTCTTAAAGAGGCGTTTATCAAGAACTCCCCTTCTTTTTTCAGGAAGTTAGCTAGCATTTGCCCCCAATGACTCTACTTCAAAATCCCTACTAGCCCTACTAGCGATTCGCCGCTAATATGTACTCTCACTTTACAATTGAAGTCTTCTATAACAACGTTGAAGTGGGCGTTGTGGGTGGGGTGTAAGGCCCTGGAAATGTATTCATACATTTCATCTACCTCATCATTCGAGTATGTCGAGGTAGGTGCGTACATTGGGATGAGCCCAGATATACCTCTTGGAGTTTGATTACAAGGTACGCCGCCACACAAGATACTTCAACAACGCTGTCCGAAAGAGATCTGTGGACCAACCTGGTCAAGCGGTCAGGGTAACCCCTGACCTTGGCCAGGAATAACAGGGTGACCGGGAACTTAGGGCTGATTTTTTTATTTTGCGTGCCAATAGAGGTAATGCTTATGATCTGATTATGGATCAACTCGCTGCGCTGGCGGGTTGGTGATCGCTGGGCATAGCTCCTCGCACTAGTGATGCTGCTGCCCGAATTTAATGTGTTGAATTTGTCTGCGCCTACATTTTATGGTTATACCACCATACGTGCAGGCAGGCGCGTGGCAGGATGCACCGCGAGCAGGTTTGTTTCACTGGCGTACATTTATTTAACAGGCGGATCGCGTGAAGGTAAGTAATCGGCACTGCTCCGCGGGAAGACGATTTGACCTCCGGTAACCTCCGGTTTCATTTTTTTATGTCCTAGGTCAGCAAATGAGCTGACTGATTACCTGATGGTAAGCAATCAGCACCGCCTATAGACACTCTTAGTTACACACAAGGGTTATTAGGCATTTAAGGATAAGGGAAAGCCATGCTTCGAATATATATGGAGATTTTATTGTGGAATAACCATATTAAAGCTAAAGGTGGGATGTGAGGCTGCTTGGATTCATGATAGTCTTCAACTATCGTTGGTAATTTAAATAAATAATCCATCAACGGATAGGTACTAAACAATAATTAAATTGGCATTTTCTGTCTAAAAGTTCCGGTTGTTTTCTTTTTTTTTTATTATTTTACATACTCATAATAACGGAGCCAAACTCATCTATGTGTATGAGAACATTATTCTGAAGGCGGACGATCATCGCAGAGGCGGCGACTATAGGCAGGACGTGGATTGAAATAGAGCGCGAAGCTCAGACGCGATGGCGGGGCACTGTGGATGCCCTCTGCCCCATCTAGGGGATATAGTACAAGTCAAGTCAAGTCAGTCTAACATACAGTAGCATTCTTCCATCTCCAGCATTAGACTCACACCACGTATCATGGTGTCCATAGTCTTTGGTTCAATAATGTCACTTAACTTTTTATTTACATCTATTATTTTTTATTATGCAACGACGAGACGAGTACCTACTTAAAAAAATGTAATAATATGGAAATATATTAAATTTTGTAGAATTCATAAAAATAAATATCCAGCAGCCACCGAGTCCATTGACCGTAACAGTATTTATTTACTTTATAATTATTTTATTAGTAATCATACTATAAGCTAAATTTTAAAGACTGCGCCCTCTATGCGAAAACTTGCATGTTGTAGCAACAGATGGCAATGTCTTCAGCGCTATCTGTAACGTTGGCGACAATTTAAAACAGCGCCATCTATAAGAATAGCGCGAAGACCTTTCTATAGCAGACAGCAGCCTAAAGATGGCCGCCATTGCAAGAGAAGTACCAAAACCAAAAGGTATCGATATCGAAACCAAATAATCGTACATTAATTTTGGGTAATTTTTTTTTAGATAGAAATTATTATTGTAATACACAGATCTACAATACTAAATCTATGATGTTATACTATATAGATATATTAAAATAATATAATGTATATAGATATATATATACTTTGGGATTAACTATTCAAAAATTAAACTATTGACAATATCAAAGTAAAAATATGTAAATTAAAAATAAACTGTGTTTAAAAATCTGGAGAGCATTAAAAAGCTCTTCCTAAGAATAGGTAGAATGAGTGAAATATGATTTACCACAAAAATCACGTTTCAACGAAATCATGTTTCCATTTAAATAGGCACCACATTTTTCACATCTTATATATGTTCCGCGTTTCAGTTGGAATAATATAGTAAGTTTTTAAGCTTTTAATAGACCCGGTTACGAGAGTGTTTTTAATCAAATTATTTATAGTGCCCACAGCATTTTTTACTGCAAACAAAACAAAGGAGAATAATCATTGTCATACGTTTAGGAACAAGCTGTGATGGCGGCATCGGGATTTAGGTTCAACCATAAATAAATTAATATTAGTTAAAAATCTCTGTTAAATATTATATCATACATAATTATTTCTACTAATTATTAATTTTATTTTACTTCTATATATTTTAGTTTATTTCTTTGTCACACTCTAAACTTTGGAAGAATTGGTAGAAAAATCAGTTATTAGTCTGGCAACTCTGACCAGGCAGAATAACTTGACACCCTTGTAGAAATTTCTTCATTTATCAAAAAAGTTACATAAAACTAAAAGTGAGTGAAGTGTATAAATCTTGAAGGACATTTATTTTTCAAGTGATTCTAGTTATCAATAAAGTAAAAATACTAAAATATTTCAGAAAGTGTTTGTGGATGGATTGTCATCAGTGGACGATATAATTATTGCGACGAGATGATTATTGAAAATCCTGACGCTTTCAAGTCGTGGTTGACTTCCATATTGGAACCTCTGTGAGTGCGAATATGCGTTTGCTGAATTTTACATATTTACGTTCACTTGAATATTTCACAAAATACCTTTAATATATGTATTTAAACACCTACTTCCTGAGTTTTAATATATAATTAAGCTTAAAAATGATGAGGCTAACGATTAAAAGTATCAAATTTCAAGATTTTTAATTATATTTGACGTTTTCACATGGCGTGTTTTTCTCGTGTTTTCAAAGGTGGAATTCGTATTTTCACTAAATTCGTGTAACACTTTTATAATTGATCTCTCTTTTTACTTAATTTTCAGTACAATTTTTCCGAATTATAGGTTAAAACGCTTAAATATTGTCGATTCTATTAATATTTTTGTTTTACCATATAAACGGGTTACAAACATATCGGATTGTCAACATTAATAAATTCTCGTAATGTAACATATATAGTGATATTATTCCATAAAATTTACGCATTGAAACGAAAACTTGAATGATTAGTTACATTGTTATGTTATATTTAGTCTAATTTGGCAGTAAACATTTCAACTTTGGTTGCAAATTGTCAATTTTTCGAATGATGCGACTTTCATATTGATTGCGTGCCTCTGGTCGACCAGATAAGATTTGTCTTTGAAATATACTTCTAACTTTGTACGGCGGCTTGCCCGCGTGGCTGGGGAGGAACTAATGTATTAATAATTATATTTAACGACTTATTCAATAATTAACTAATTCGCGAGATAATTCGACTATTTTCAAACCACGCCATATTCAAGAACAGAATTCACGACAAAAACTCGGCATTTAAAATGAAACACGCTTGTTTTAGTACAAAAACCAATGTGATGTGATATTTGATGATTTTTTACATTGTCTAACTGGGACACAGACAAGAGTAAAGTATTGAAAGTATAATTCACACTGGAAAGGCTTAAATTATTGTGTCAGCAACTAATAATTTGACTGCACTGTTTTTGCAGCAGCTAGGCAATTGGCTACCATGCAATGTGTTGTGGGATTGATTCCCACATGGCACAACACTTGGTGTGATCCATACATTGTTTTGGGTCTAGCTGGCTTGTGTATGGGAATTTGTGTATTTGTGAACTCACTTAAACACATCAAAAAATGTTAGTGTTTGGAATGATAAAGAAAACATAGTTCAAATATCTATGTTAATATTACAAAGCTCAAGAGTTTGTTGCATCAGGAGGCTTTACCTTTATTTTTATATGGGCAGGAGTTTGGCCTGTATCTTGCCTGGTTGTTAGTCTATGGTGAAGCACACATATTACATTGACTTCCACATGGAAAAACTCTTGTGTGATCCACAAATTGTTGTTCCAAACAAGAGAAACACAAGAGTAAACACAAGAGAAAATCTATATGTAAGGCAAAATTTTCTTTTAAAAATCATTGTTGCAACATACCTCTTCTTAAACATAAATACATACATAAAGTTGTATATTAAATAAAAAACTATTCATCATTCCAATTCTATTTTGGTTGTAACTAAACGCAAGACCAACTCATGGATTATAATTAACTGTTACTCAGTTATTTTTAACTGCACCTCTCTGTCTGTTACTTGTAATGTTAACCACACAAGTGGGTTAAATATAACTGTTGATTTTCATCTCACCTTTTATACTGTAGGGGGTAGTTATAGGTTTTTATACTTTTAACTTTCGCACTGCATATAATACTTTACTGTTTTATGGGATTGATGGCAGCAATACTGTTATGTGGGGCAATGTTTTTTTTTAAAAAAAATCCTTTTGTTTGTTTTTTGCTTGATGTTTCTGCAGGGTGACACCTTCCACAGTCACAAGCAGAATAAAACAGTGAAGTAGCTATAGGTGAATACGGACTGCAATGTTTTCTTTTCACCATTCATGTGTCTGATTTAAGAGCAAAACTTGTTACTTTGATTTTGTGAGAACGCCTAACGTATCAGCCAGTGTTGCAGAGTAATCACAATAAGATACCACATCTTTGGCCTGGGGGTTTTAGTCAGTGTCTGACACTCCATCTGTGAGGGAAATCCTTGATGGTGTTGATCATCATGAAAAAAATTCTTTGGATGAGAATGTGATTCAATTAAAAGATTATACATATTTACTTAAGCATGTAATTAAATTATAAATACGTAAATATATACATGTATACATTACACAATTATGTATATGTGTGTCAATACTCTTTAATATTTTTTATATTGTTTTCATGATAATTCCGTTCTTGTCTTATCTTGTTGAAGTAGATAAGGCAATGGGTTATGTAAAATCAGTGGCATAACATTTATTGATAATGTGCTTCTATTGTAATATTTCGTTTACGTAATATTACGACTATGTTTCGTAGAAGTAGGCAGTAAATACCCCTAAAACGTCTTTTAATCAAAAGTCAAAGTAATTTTTTCCAACTTAAATCATAAACAGGTACCTTTGAAATGTAGAAATAGAATATAATCTCTCATTCTGTTCGTCAGTGAAGCTAGGTACTCGTTCCTAACTGTAGATACGAATGGAAAAGAACGAGAAAGACAGTCTTTCATTGTTACTCTTAAAAAACTAAAGTTTTGGAAAACGACTATATTTAATACCGTCACTTTGGTACAGGACAAGTTTGTTTCCACATACGTATTTTATCAAGTGTCGTGGATACGGTTACAAACACAATTTCATATACATATTACACTTAAACCGGGGCCAGTCGGGGTTGCGGGCTCAGCTCAAAGTTGGACAAAGAACGGTGTGGTTTTTAGTCAGTCTGACACTCCCTCTCCCCTCACCATGGACGGCAAAAGTAGGCATTGGATGATATTTCCCCTAAAAAACAGCATAGAATTGATACATTTATATTTTCCAGATCCAAGTCATTTGAAACCTTTTTTCTTCTCCTAAAATAATATCTTCCGATTTATTTCCTTGCGGGATCCAAGACAGTCATTCATGTCCCTGAGACTCGCCGGACTTCAGTGTTCCGGTGTTTTTATGGTTGTATCTACTGTAGATCCTGGTGTACAAGAGTTGCAGCGGATTTAGGAGGTTGTGGCGGGCTTGTCCATTTAAAACAAGTCCCTGGAGAAAAAAGAAAAAACGTTTTCGAAAAAAATTTCTTTTAAGTATAAAAACGTTGCCTCACACTAGGATTTTCTCCTCTGGCGTTCAGTGCGGTAATCGAAACCGTGACACGTTGCACAGCAGCCAGATGCAGTTATGCAGTTAGTGGTTTAAAAAGTTATTATAAGTGGTTGTTATTTGATTACAGCTGCGATGCTGACCCGGCAGCGCTCGCCAAATATGTGTACGCCCTCGTCAAGAAGGACAAGCCCTTGGATGAGCTTCGGGAGGTGATGGTGGACCAACTCGATGTCTTCCTGCAGCAGGGTGAGTTTCTATGCATTTTTCAATAAGTACCTATAGGATTTAAAAGCAAGAATCCCGATAACAAAAACAACGCACCATTATAGATGGAAAGTTGAAATTTGGACAAATTATGTATTTTTATTGCACACATCACATCATCAGCTCACTGCTGAGAAAGTGCGTCTTCTCACACGGAGATGGTTTGAGCATTAATCACCACGCTTGCTCAAGGTGGATTGGCGATTTCAAGGCTCCAGGATCATGTTCATCACGATGTTTTCCTTCACCGTATATCAGTGGTGTCTAAATAATCTTAGCAAGTACATATAACTCGGAAAGAGACACATTGGTGCTTGCCAGGTTTGGAGCTTGCACCCGGTGCGGGTTTAAAACATAATTGAGCCGTGAAGTCTACATAATCTTAGAGCGAATGTCGGTAATTCGGAAATAGTCACATTGGTAGTTGCCAGGTTTCAAACCCTTGCATAAGAAAAGACACCTTATAATTACTTCTAGGACACTCGTCGTAAAACTTCTAAGTTCTTTAATTTTTAATTTATTTTTAAAACCACTAACATTTGTAAATTTTTCCACAGAGACGAAACCGTTTGTGGAGATGCTGTTCAAGGCGCTGGAGAGTAATGATTATCTGAAGCAAGGCAAGGATGATAAGAAGGCTCCATCTCCGGCGCCCGGGGACTCCGAGCCATCCAAGGAGCCGGAAACTGAGAACCATGGTATGTTCATACCAAAGTATTTTACTATCTAAATAATACTAGCTACTCTCACGCGGTTTAACCCGCTGCTCAGCTCCTAAAGATCATAGCGTGATAGTTTATAGCTTAAAGCCTTCCTCGATAAATGGACAACAATCATAAAGAATTGTTCATTTCGAACCAGCAGTTCCAGAGTTTTTTTTGTGAGGGGAAAATCATCAAATGACTTCTCCCGCCCAGTGCCGGGCGGGAGGGAGTGTCACACTCTTACTGACTAAAAAACCCCCTGTTCCTTCTCCTGCTCTGTGCCGAGGTCGCGGTGCCTCATTGCGCTAACCCCGCAACCCCGGCTGAACAGCAGTTCCAGCGATTGGTGCGTTCAAACAAACAAAAAAAAATCGTCAGCTTTATAATATTATACATATAGTATAGATTATAAAGAGATATACTTTGACTGCACGGTTGGTGCGGTGGCTGGGCAACTGGTTGCCGTGAACGTGTCGCGGATTCGATTCCCGCACGGAACAACTCTTTGTGTTACAAATTGTTGTTCCGGGTTTGGGTGCTATTGTATGTGTCAAATTTTAATTGTATGCACCCACGACACAGAAAAAGCCCTATTGTGAAACTGCTGGTAATTTTTGAAACTGCTGGTCGAATTTCCAATATTCTTTCACTGATGCTACGAAGTTCCTGAGTGCTGTAGGCTGTTATATAGGTTGATTTGCGTATCTTAATAGAGCTATCGCTTTAAACGCTGGCTGTCACCCGGTTTCTGAAAGGCTTGTCAAAGCTAAAATTAACTAATCTCCTGTTAAAACTCTTGTCAAGTCATGTGATTGGTTGTTGATAATTCAGTCAACCAATCAGATGACTTGACAAGAGATTAAATTGATTTTAACATTGATCGGCCTTTCGGAAACTGGTGTATTTAAAATTATGGAATACATTACATACACCTGCTACTTAGGTACTTGACAGCTTTAAATAAACATGTCTTTTAATTTGTAAATAGAATAAAATTGCTCTCCCAGGTTGCGTTAATAATAGATCTTACTAGGAGAGTATATTTTCTAAATTCGTGTATTGTAATTTGTACACCATTTTTGTACTCTCCCGTGACGCAGACTTTGAATATTTATGGAGCGTCCACCTTGTTTTGTAGTAGCTATTATGCGGAATTTATATTATAACATTTTGTGTGTATAGGCTAGAAAACATCACGCTACAATTAAATGGAGCCGAGCAGTGTGTGAAACCGTGCGAGAGTAGCTAGTAGTCAATAAGTTGAGTGCAATGTATTGGTCGTGTTGGCCCAGAGGTTAGGACGCCCGTTTCTCATACACTGAAACTGGCTCGAAACCTGGCAATGTGACTTTAACCGAGTTATATGTACTTTCTATGATTATTTAGACACCACTGACATACGGTGAAGGTAACCATCGTGAGGAAATCTGAAAATATAAGTTTGAAATCGCCAATCCGCGTTGAGCAAGCATGGTGGTTAATGCTCAAACCTTCTCCGTGTGAAAAGAGGGTTTTGTTCAGTGGTGGGCACTTATAGGCTAATGTTGTGTAGTATAGACTAGCTTCCGCCCTCTACTTCGCACGCCTATAAATGTAATGTATCCTGTCATTTTAAACACTGTTTTTTTACCAAAAAACTTTGTTTCATACAAATATTTTTTCCCGCCAACTCCCGTTCCCGGGGAATTTCGGAATTCCATTCTTAGTGCACTTCTATGGTACCAAAGCTACGTCCATTCCAAATATAAATACTATTTGTCTACGTTTAGCCGTTTAGGATGTGCGTTGATAGGTATATCAGTCAGTTAGTCACTTTTTCCTTTAATATAACTTGGGAAAAGCTGAATCCACAGGCAGGTTGACGCTAAATGTTTAATAATTGTTTATTATATTACTTTGTTGTTTGATCCACAGTGGGTGCCCCAACGATTCCGTCCCCGGTGTCGGGCGGCGAGACCCGTGGTAGGTCCCCGTGCGCGGGCACGGTGGCGGGCAGTACGGGCGCGGCGGGGGCGCGCGGCCGCCTCGTCGTGTCGCGCGGCGCCAAGCTGGCCGCGCCCGCGCCCTCCGCGCCCTCCGCACCCACGCCCGCACCACCCCCGCGGGGACATCCACATAACGAACATACGCTTGTTAAGGTGACTATGCTTTGATATTATTATTATTATAGCGTCTACGAGAGATTTCTTACTTCATGCTCATTGGCACGAATGGGTCGACTCGACCCAAATAAAGTTTTTTTATAGGATACGATCAGGTAATCTGATGGTAAGCAATCGGCGCCGCCCATGGACACTCACAATACCGAAGGAGTTACGAGCGCGTTGCCGGCCTGTTAAAGATAAGGGTTACGGATATTTAAGGGTTGGAAAGGGATGGGGAAGGGAGAGGGATTGAGCCTCCAATAACCTCTTTCACACTGCTTATGACTGGCTTGTTGTGGTTCCGGTCGAGTCGACCCATTCGTGCCGAAGCTTGGCTTTCCCACACTTAAAAAGTACCACGACTCACAGGAAACTTGTGTTTAGCCGTGTAAGACACAGGCTCAAGGCAAGGATAATTCAAACAGAATTGCAATTAATAGGTTGTCAAATAGCCTCCATAGCCAAAATCAGCATGCTTAAAGATCGGATTGGGTTTTACTCAATAAGAGCCTGACACTCACTCTCGCCTCATCCAGGGACGGAAGATGTCATTTACCTCTCGAAAAAAGGATTATTAGTATTCAGAATATATAAAGTAAGTGTTCTTTGTTTACAGGTGTTACCACTAACGGAACTTCTAGAAGAACCCGTAGACCAGCCGCCTAGAAGACGCGACAGAAGAGGAGATTCGGTAAGTGAATTTAATTTACTATTTTTCTATCAAATCAAAATACGTACCGGGTAACTTCGGGTTAGTTTGACCCTGGGGATGACCTTGATCCAAACTCCTTGACCAATAATAGACCAGAACCAAACATTATTACTTTTTCCATATGTTATTAGTTTTTCATTGGTTTGGAAATTTGTTGAAGAAACATATTGCTAGGTTCGCGCGGTGGCTGGGCAACTGGCTACCGCTCAACCTGTCGCGGGTTGGATTCCCGCACGAAACACCTGTTCGTGTGATCCACAAATTGTTGTTTCGGGTCTGGGTGTGATTTCTAAATGCAACCAAGACACAGGGAAAATCGAAATACGGTTTTTTAATAACTAAAAGAAACTCTTATCCTCTAATTTTATTTATTGGATGTTTGTTGACAGACTCGAGAGGCTGACAGACGGAGACGTAGATCTCGTTCGTGGGAGAGACGCGCCCGGGCGAGGAGACACGGGAGAGACAATGAACACAATACTGACATCAGAAGGTAATATTTAGAAGAACATCACATTATCAGCCTATATGTGACTCTCCCACCCTGGGTGACGCGAGAGTTAAATTTCAGATTCCTATCTATACTAATATTATAAAGAGGTAAAATTTGTAAGTTTGTATGTATTAGGTAATATTTGGAACCACTGGTCCGATTCCCAAATTCTTTCCAATGATAGATAGCTACGATGTTCCTGAATGCTATAAAACATCACGCTACAATCAAATGGAGCCGAGCAGCAAGTGAAACCGCGCGGGAGTAGCTAGTTTCTTATAAGATAGTACGGTAAACGAACCAGTATCAGCATTGCACCTGTATAAAGCTGGGGCGGGTCGCTAGTAATCATCATTACTGTGTCATCATCATCATCATCATCAGCCTATAAGTGCCCACTGTTGAGCAAAGGCCTCTTCTCACACAGAGGTTTGAGCATTAATCACCACGCTTGCTCAATGCGGGTAGGCGATTTCAAACTTACAATTAGAAATTATAAGTCTAGGTTTCCTCGCGGTGTTTTCCTTCACCGTATGTCAGTGGTGTCTAAATAACCATAGAAAGTACATATAACTCGGAAAAATTCACATTGGTACTTGCCAGGGTTCGGTTACTCCTTAATCGGGCCACATATAAAACACACACGTTGTTATACATATAAAACACACACGTTGTTATACATATAAAACTTTTTCTTCAATCACTATCTATTAGAAAAACACATCAAAATCCGTTGCGTAGTTTTAAAGAAAAAGTGGCTTTGTTTTATACTATGTAGTTATAATAATCTATAATCTATTTATATAAAAATGAATCGCAAAATGTGTTGGTAAGCGCATAACTGGACAACACCTGGAACAATTTAGACAAATTTTTTTTTTGTTGTATCTCTTATTAGCAAGTAGAAGGATCTTATGAAAAAAATATTGTAATAGTATTAGTATTAAGTTAATATAAAATTGGTGAAAAATGACCCTTTTGTTAATAAGATAGTTGTTAATAATAATTTCTTTTGTTACACAGACGACCTCTGTCCCGATCACCATCTCCTCGGGGCCGCTACAGAAATCGCAGCCCACCGCCGTCAGCCATCGACAGACAAACCAGTAGATCTCGGTATGTATGGAAAACAGAATAGTTTTTTTTATATATTTTTTTTATTTGGTAGGTCGGCTAACGAGCATACGGGCTACCTAATGTGAAGCAATCAGCGCAACAATGGAGGAGTTACGAGTGCGTTTTGGTCTCTTGTGGGTTATTAGAGATTTAAGAATAGGAGATTTGAGGATTTAGGATGTGGGGATTTGATACATAATACTTTACAAGCGGCTCCTTTGGGATTAATAGTGTCATTAAAAAAATCTTTTTTTTGAAAATAAGCTGCTAACAATAAATTAATTAATGAAAACGTGATTATTGTTAATATTTTATAACTAAGTCAAATGCCTTTTGTCTGTCTTTCACAGATCAAGGTCACCGGCCGGTCGTGAACGCGACCACGAGAGGGAGCGAGACAGACTGAGAGTTCCACGTGAGTTGGAGAGAGACAGAATGTCCCGCGACAGAGAACATAGAGATCGCGTGTCCCGCTCTAGGGATAGAGATCGGTGAGTTTATATATATTTTACTTTGCTTTACATAACTTTACTAAAGATACAGCTGGGGTTGCGTGTCAACCACAATAAGGGACCGTTTCCCCAGCATGGAGCAGGAGAAAGAGTGATTTTTAGTCAGTAAGAGTCAGATACTCCCTCTCACTTTACCTAAGAAGACATTTAATGATTTTCCCTCAAAAAGAAACTTAGGCAAATTATTGGGCTTAGGCAGGCAGACATTTAGCTGCTATTACTAACAAACACAAAATAATTATTTAATTTGAACCAGTAGTTCTGGAGATTGGCGCGTTCAAACAAACAAAATCTTCAGCTTTATAGTTATAGTATAGATTAAATGAATGTTTATTGTTCTGTTTCAGTTCCCGCGATCGTTCCCGCGACCGCTCCCGTGGCTCTGCGTCCCCTCACCCAGACTCCAGGCTCGACCACAACGACGCCTACAAGCGACGCTGTAGAGATTTTGACGGTATGTACATAGGTATTACATACTAGCTACTCCCGCGCGATTTCACTCGCGGCTCGGCTCCATTTGATTGTAGCGTGATGTTTTAAAGCTTATAATAGCACTCGGGAACATTGTAGCTATCAATAATTGTAAGAATTTTGGAAATCCGACCAGCGGTTTCAAAGGTTGCTCCCTACATTCAAACTTACAAATTTTACCTCTTTATAATATCAGTATAGATAAGTGTGGGAGAGCCAAGCTTTGGCACGAAAGGGTTGACTTGACTGGAGTGATACCACGGTCTCACAGAAAACTGGCGTGAAACAACCACAGCGTTGTGTTTAGCCGCGTGACTGAGGTTACAGGAGGCCCAATCCCTCTCCCTCCCTCCATCTCTTCCCAATCATTAAATATCCGAAACCCTTTTCCCCAAAAGGCTCGCTCGTTGTTGCGGATGTACATGGGCGACGCCAATTGCTTCTTTTTCAAGTAATTTAATAACCAACTTACTAGCATAAACGCCTTGTTTTCACGTATGTTTTCTTTACATTCCAGAGAAGGGGTACTGCATGCGCGGTGACCTCTGTCAGTGGGACCACGGCAGTGACCCCGTCGTACTGGAGGACGCGTCCGCCGCCCTCTCCTCCGTCCTCGCCTTGCCGCCGCCGCCCACTGTACCAGGTCAGACATTTTTCTATACTAGTCCTTGTATTGTAGTCGTCTCATGTATAGATGATTCTTAAGTCTTTGACAGCCGAGAAAAAAACTGTTGAAGGCTTATCGTCCACTAGCGTCGGACATCATTGTCCGACGTGGCGTTCTAAGTGTTAACATAAGTTAATGATTAAGTCATTAGGGGCTATCCATAAAGGAGGTCACATGAATTGGGTTTCCTAGGTCAAAAATAAATTAATTTGACTTTTCAATACAATAAAAAAAAATGAAAAATAACTATTCTTTTATTCACCAATCGATCAATACCCTAAGTTTTAGATATTTTGTAGCTAATTATTAAGAAATAAGTAAGCTATTTGACGTGAAAATACTATGACGTCATGCCTCTGTATTTCATACTAATTTCATACAAAAATGTCGTTTTTGACATTTCGATAAAAGTATTGAATTTGACTAGTTGGAAACTACCGAATTTCATAATTTTTTGAGGCCATCATTTTTTTTTAATATATTATTCAAACGTATCAATAAAGCATAAATCATACTTCTATTGGAATATAGTCGGTTCAAATAAATATAAGCTTTATACTTGTGCAATTACAGAGTACAATCCCCTGACGCCGGATATATGGTGCGGCGGGTTCCCTGCGTACCCCCCGCCGCATCCCCACCACCCACACCCTCCCAGAGAACTCATACCTATACCTAGGTAAGTTATTCTAAAATTTATTGAATATAGTGCCAAGTTTGAAAGTAATTAATGTGTTATATTAGATTATAATCTATCTCTATGTTTTTTTTTAATGTAATAAGTCGGCAAACAAGCAGACGGATTACCTGATGGTAAGCAATCAGCGCCGCCCATGGACACCCGCAACGGAGGAGTTACGAGTGCGTTGCCGACCTTTTAGGAATTAGGGATTTGGAGATTTAGGCATTGAGGAGGGATTGAGGGAGGGGAAGGATTGGGCCTCCGGTAACCTCACTCACACGGCGAAACACGACGCTGTGGTTGTTTCACGCCGGTTTTCTGTGAGGCCGTGGTATCACTTTGGTCGAGCCGACCCATTCGTGCCGAAGCATGGCTCTCCCACACTTAAATTGTGACCAAGTCAAATCTCATCTGCAACTCCGTCTGCACGAAGCTATACACAATGCTGCTGATAGAAGCACCTGGAGGTAATTATCCCGGCCCAACCTCAATGCTGACAGAGACTAATGATGGTCACGATCCCCAATCCATGGGGGAACGACTTTGATGATGATGCTAAATTTCAATCAGATCCATTGAGTAGTGTTTATATGAAACAGAAACTAAAAATCTATGAGCACTCCTATTCATACGCAATCTATTCACTGAAGCCTTGAAGAAGCACAGGTTATTCAGGCAACACTTACTCCGGCAATTTGTGGATCACACATACTTGTTCTGTGTGAGAATTGAACTCGCGACACGTTGCGCGGCAGCCAGTTGCCTAGTCACCTCGCCAACCGTTCAGTCTGGAACTGAAAACAAATACTGTTTTAAGTATCAAAATGAGTAATAATCCTCGTTTCTCCCCCAGGATCCGCCACGAGATGGTGTCTGCGCGCGGGGTGGGGGCCGTTGGGGCAGCCCCCAGACCCCCAGCACCACACAAGAAGAACTTTGACTACACACGTTTCGGTAATTACTTATAACTACAGTACGGCCGCCGTATCTTGGCGAGTCTGAAGTTAGCCGTTTGTCTGCGCAATTGATCTTTTAGGAACAAAATTGTGTACTGCGCAGCTAATCGGCTAACTTCAGACTCGACAAGATACGTCGGCGGTATTTTAAAACAAAGTAGCTTTCTCCGTCCCTATATCCCTTTCCTATGTATGCTTAAATCTTTAAAACTACGCAACGGATTTTGATGCGGTGTTTTTATAGTATAAAAAGAGTGATTAATGAGGAAGGTTTATATGTATGATAGATAACATTCGTTAAATAGTGAACACATTTTGTATTTGTAGTATGGTAGTCTCCAACTAATCAAATTAAATACTTTTATCCAAATGTCAAAAACGATACTTTTCTATGAAATTTGTATGAAATACTGAGTTGTGACGTCATAGTATTTTTGAGTCAAATAGCTTAACTATTTTTTAATAATTAGCTTTAAAATATCTAAAACTTAGTGTATATCTATCGACGAAAGAAAGTATAGTTTTTTTTAATGTTTTATTGTATTGAAACGTCAAATTAATACATTTTTTACCACTTATACTACTTTTTTTCGTCGATACACCAAATATTCGATAATTTTTAAATAAAGTTTTCGGTTAAAGTTATTTCTCACAAACTACTATGACGTCATAATTTAGAATTTCATAAAAAGTTATCGTTTTTTAGATTCGATTAAGATTTGACTAGTTGGAAACTAATGTATCATAATTTTATAACTGTCTCTGTCCAGGCCCGCCCCGTCCTCCCCTGCCGGCCAACGCGGCAAATTGTTCCCTGGAAGTAAAGAAAGTGCCGCGCGGTCTCAACGATATCACGCATCTAAACAACCACTTCTGCAAGTTTGGCAAGATTGTCAATATACAGGTTTGTTCTGTTTAATTTTATTATATTTTACTTTTCTTTTTTCTTTTTTTTTTAAAAACGTACAGTAGGATTTTCTCCTGTGTCGTGGGTGCGGTTACAAACATACAATTTCACATGCACATGACACCCAGACCTGGAACAACAATTTGTGGATCACACAAAGAGTTGTTCCGTACGGGAATCGAACCCGCGACACGTTGCACGGCAGCCAGTTGTCCAGCCACCGCACCAACCGTGCAGTCATATCATTTACTAGAGATCAGAGTCATTTACTAGAGAGACTACTTTACTTTATTTTACTTGAGAGTAGCTCTCACGCGGTTTCACCCGCTGCTCAGCTCCATTTAATCGTAGCGTGATGTTTTATAGAATTTTGGCAATCCGACCACCTGTTCCAAAGATATCCCTACATACAAACTTACAAGCATACAAATATTACCTCTTTATAATATTAGTATAGATAAATCTTTGTTGTGTAGTCTTCTCAAATATGATTTCTGTTTTCTTCCAGGTTTGCTACGACGGTGACCCGGAAGCGGCCCTCATAACGTTCAGTACTCCGACGGAAGCCAACGTTGCGTACAAGAGCACCGAGGCTGTTCTCAACAATCGCTTCATCAAAGTCTTCTGGCATAACCCTGAGGTATGTAAGGTACTAGGAAAATATTTGCGACGGCTTTAATGGAAGATATAGTTTTGTAATTTAAATATAAGACTTGGATCTTGGATATTTGACTTTAATATCACAGTAGACAGTCGGGCAGCTTACACTGTCACACTGCTTTGCACCAGCGTTACATTGTCAATGGTCGACACTATCACGACCATCTTATTTACAGTAGACAATGACAATGACAGTTCTAGTGGTTTACTTGTGGTTCAGTGGTAGGACAACTGCCTTTGCAACGTGTCCCGGGTTCGATGCCCACACGGAACAACATTGTGTGATTCACAAATCGTTGTTTCAGATATGTGTGATGTGTATGTGATTTTATATGTTTGTAAATGCACCCACGACATAGGAGAAAATACTATTGTAGGGCAACGTTTTTTAATAAAAGAGAAAAGGAGTAAGACACGTCCGAGCCTACGTTACGCCGGATGATTTAAGGTTTCGCCTAACCCTGGGCGGGAGAAGTCATTTGATGATTTTCCCCTGACAAAAAAGATAAATAATAATAACATTACTTACTTATTTTTTCGTCTCAGCAGAACAAACAGGAGAACATGGCACCTGGCGGGCAGATGTCCAACAAACAGACGGACAGACAAAACTCCCAGCATCCCATGTCACATAACAAGGTGCTGATCAACAGAGATAATATCAAAGCGACCGCAGATAATAACGCCAAACAACTTATGGAGAAGGTATGTTTTTATAGTACTACTCATTTAAGCTTTAAACGAATCGTAAAATATGTTGGTAACCGCATATCTAATAAATTATTAATATGCATATTCTTTTTAATACTTACCGCATCCTTTTGTTTTGCTATCGATTCACGCGAAAACATTATAATCCAATTCATGTAGATGGTTGGCAGTCAACGTCAATAACTGTGCGGTTTTTGCGAAACTTACTGCCTCGCTAAGCAAAACTTTGAATAATCTTCCGGCGGCGGTATTTCCGAACCGATATGACCTTGAAACTGTCAAGTAACGAGCGTACTCCTTCGGCGGCCCATGGAAAGCGGAGGAGTCACAGTCCTCTGTTGTCCATGGGCTGCGCTGACCACCTACCATCAGGTGATCGGACTGCACGTTTGCCTCCTATTCCATAAGTAAAAAGGGCTTGACCAGTTTGCCATTTTTTGGCCTCGGGTTATCTTATTTAAACGGCGAAACACAACGCTGTAGTGATTTTTGTGAGGCCGTGGTATCACTCCAGTCGTCGGATACCACTCGGGTCGTACCGTCCGCGCAATAAACTGACTAAACTAACCTTTAACCTGATGGTAAGCAATCATCGCCGCCCATGGACATACACACCAGAACGGTCGCAAGTGCATTGCCGGTCTTTTTAGTGTGTACGTTTACGTTTTACGTCGAGGTTTGTGGATAGGGGGTGAAAGTAGAAACTGCAAAGTGGTTACAGTGATCCTTACACAATATATTCTTCTTTAACTCTAATATATTACGTCCACAGCAAGAGAAAGAGAAAGAGCTAGCCAACGGCCAGGACCCGAAGAAGGATGTGGTGAAACCTCCGATTACGAAGAGTAAGCAGGTCATGGAGATGCACAAGAGAGCGCAAGCCTTACTCGAGACACAGCTGCAACAGCAGATGCTCCTCATACAGAGGCTGGAGTCCGGTCAGTTAGATTCCATTATCTACATTACTTATTTATTTATTTAAACTTCATGCACAATTTGTATGTACATAAGGCGGACTTAATGCATTGAGCATTCTCTACCAGTCGACCTTTGGGTGATGCAGAGAATCCAGTAGTAGATGCAAGAAGCAAGCGAAATAGAGTAGTATAACATAGGTTTATATAAACATACATAAAGTTCATAAAACTATACTTATATACATATATTTATAAAACACATACTACTTAATATATTTACACATATAAACACATACATACATACATATATATACATAAATGTAGTCATGATCACGATGACTCCCCAACCCTCCCCAGAAGAAGCTCCCGAACTCTCTGCTTGAATGTCAGCCGACTAGTCACAGTCCTGACATCGTACAGTCAGCTCCAAAAGTCGATGAACAGAATCAATTTACCAAAACACCTGTTCACAATAAAACGCCATAAGTTATAGTCGCAACTAGGAAACAAAATAGCCTGTACACCAGAAATTTACAAAAGTCGTTACACACGACTATTTCAAAAGTATCTGTGCACTATAGTATTCCCAAAGTCGCTGTACACCTTCAATCCAAATGTCGCTGAACATCATTGTATCAAAAGTCACTAAACAGCAGTAAAGACAAAATTAGGTTAACAAAGTATATTTTTAATGTTGCCCCGTGTTAATATACTTTTGACGCTTATGTTGTTTAGCTACTTTTGGAACAGTGTTTGCTAGACCTTAATAATGTATGTTAACACGTTACTATCTACATATTTCAAAACTTATTTACAAATAAATTATATTTTATTGTCAGTAATCATACTAATCTATAATTTATGAAATAACATAAACATAACTCTAATGATCTACGAAGTGATTTTTGTGACGGTACTTGTAATTTACTTTGCGAAAATCTTACAAAACCTACCTCCCTTTAATTTATTATTTTTACTCAACTACGCCAATGCTCAAATTTAAAGAATTCGACATATGACATATCATTAGAAACGTCTTAATTATCCGCTGGTTATAAGTTATATGATGTGTTACAAAATCTAATGCGGCGTCCTCTAGAGGACAAAACAACCAGAGTAAAAAAATAAAGTTAAGATAATTATGCCGTGTTTGGTATCATTTTAAAGCGCTTTACTTGTACATTTTGAATATATATGTATTACTAGCATTTTTTGGTGACTTTGCTTGTATTCATGTGCTGATTGTATATAATTCACATCTTCTCGTTCATACCTTTTACTACTTAATATTAGTTCATTCTTTTGTTGATATTATGCGACACAAATACACTTTAATACCAAAGTAGTACAAATAATAAAAAGTATAAAAACTAAAACCCAACTACGACAAACACCGACGCTGAAAAACGCTGTTTTCTTTCTTATCTTGTTCGGAGGAAACGTTCGGGTGTCACCTAGCACAGATCGCCCGGAGGACACGGTAGAATATACGGTGGAAGTGTGCCCCGCTTGGGCAGGAAGACAGTATTTCAATAAAATAACTGTTGCTATAATCACTCTTCTTACAACTCTTGATATTACAATCACAACAATTACAATTTAACTAAGGATAATTAAGATTAGGTTGAATTTGAACTTAACGTCCACCGAACACATGCGTATTCTACGAAGGTCCAACACTAATCGTCCAGTTTTACAAGAAGGCCGTCTCACCAGAGCTCGGTGTTCGCTATGGACTTGAAATAATTATGACAGTGAAGTTTGACATCGACGTATAACAAAGAGGTTTTACATGCACTGATAGCCAGTGCGCCGACATATACTTTGTTAACCTAATTTTGTCTTTACCGGGCTGTTTAGTGACTTTTGATACAATGATGTTCAGCGACATTTGGATTGAAGGTGTACAGCGACTTAAGGAATACTAGTGCACAGATACATTTGAATTAGTCGTGTGTAACGACTTTTGTAAATTTCTAGTGTACAGGCTATTTTGTTTCCTAGTTGCGACTATAACTTATGGCGTTTTATTGTGAACAGGTGTTTTGGAAAGTTGATTCTGTTCATCGACTTTTGGAGCTGACTGTACATACTTAGTACAATAAGACCGCCGTATCTTGGCGAGTCTGAAGTTAGCCGTTTGTCTGCGCAATGGATCTTTTAGGAACAAAATTGTGTACTGCGCAGCTAATCGACTAACTTCAGACTCGCCAAGATACGTTGACGGTATTGTAGTTATATTACTCTCGCGCGGTTTCACCCGCTGCTCGGCACCATTTACTCGTAGCGTGATGTTTTATAGTCTATAGCACTCAGGAATATTGTAGCTATCTATCAGTGAAAGAATTTTGGGGATCCGACCAGCAGTTCCAAAGATTACCCCCTGCATACAAACTTACAAATTTTACCTTTTTATAATATTAGTATAGATTTGTTATTTAAGTTCCATAGTTACCCCATTGTTTATTTTTATACACAACCTACCCTATGTCACCTGGGATGATTTAAGTATTCCAAAGATATACTATATGTCTAATTCTGCCCAGGCGTTTGGAAGTTACAGTGGAATAAAAAGAAAGCAAATACATAATCAATACTCCTCTTTGTGGGCAGTCGTGTAAAACAGCAGACGGATTACCTGATGGTAAGCAATCAACGCCGCCAATGGACACCCGCAACAACGGAGGAGTTATGACTGTGTTGCCGACCTTTTGGGGATTAGGAATTTGGAGATTTTAGTTTTGGTGAGGGATTAGGGGAGGAGAAGGATTGACCTCCAGTAACCTCAATCTCACGGCGAAACACAACACCAACAAACTTATAAGCTTATCTATACTAATATTATAAACAGGTTAAATTTGTAAGTTTGTATATAGGGAGTAATCTTTGTAACCGCTGATCGGATCCCCACAATTCTTTCACTGATAGATAGCTACAATGTTCCTGAGTGCTATAGGCTATAAAACATTACGCCACCATCTAATGGAGCCGAGCAGCGGGTGAAACCGCGCGAGAGTAGCTAGTGATATATATTTTCTTTTAGTATTTTTTATCTGTTATTTGTTTTTAGGTATAAAAAAGTCTAATGTAATGTTTTCTTTCACTTCTAGGCAACGTGACAGGACCTCAACGCGCCGCTTTGCTCGAAGCAATAAATTCAGCTCAAGAAGGCATTGAGAAATTACGCAAAGAATTGGTCGCTTACAACGGTACATTGAAACAAATGCAGGTAAGCTGTCCAAGCAAAATTAATCTTATTAACATGCTTGTTAAAGTTTATTTTCCCCATTTGACGTGTGTAGTAATATGTTCTTTTATAATTGAATATTTCCTTGTTAGTTGTGCAGCGTTGCCTACATTTTTTTGTTTATGCGAATCTCGAATCACTGGTGTTATTGACCAAAGGAAATTGAGTCTACAGACAGTTTTGTGGGCCTACATATTAAACTAAGGTATTCAATATTCTGTAATAATAGGTAAAAGGGCTTGCCAATAACAAAATAAAGTAATAACGTCTAAACTAAGATGTCCAATAGTCAAATAGAGTCAGTATTCGATGGATGGTTCCGCAATTCCGCAATATTTTTAACCCCCGACGCAAAAAGAGGGGTGTTATATGTTCCTATAGCTCGCCCGCTGTGGCTCGCTCCGAGTCGTCCAATAATCTACTCTAGGCTTATAATATACTAGCTAATCTCGCGCGGTTTCACCCGCTGCTCAGCTCCATTTAGTCGTAGCGTGATGCTTATCCTATAGCACTCAGGAACATTGTAGCTATCTATAAGTGAAAGAATTTTGGAAATCCGACCAGCGGTTCCAAAGGTACAATTTTTTTTACCTGTTTATAATATTATAATATAATATATTTTTAAGCGTTATCATGTTAAACTATGACATGGTATCGATTAATTAACTCTTTCTCAATAAACTATATTCAACATTCGCATAAACAAAAAATAAGGTTGTATCCATAGGGTTTATAGATTATAAGATTCAAAATAGACGATAATCTAGTTGAAAAACCTTACTCTTATGTTTATCCCTAAATTCATAGAAATATTTTATATTATGTCCGCGTCTCAAGAGACATCAACATGTAAAATAAAGCAAGAATTTAGAAATCGAAAATGTGTTCTTAAAATTTTGACCGCCACATTAAAAAAGTCAGAGCAAAAATATGTTGCCGTCCCTCTTTGTTTCGAATCTGTACTTCCAATAAAAAAGAATACTGAAATTGTTTTTGATCGTGATAAGGGAGAAACTTCACGTGGCAACTAGAACTCAACTACAAGGCTGACGCAGTGGCTGGCCAACCGACTGCCGAGCAACTTGTCGCGGGTTCGATTCCCGCACGGAACAACTCTGCGTAATCCATGTATGTGAAATTGTATGTTTATAAGCGCACCCACGATACAGGAGAAAATCTTAGCGTGGGGCAACGTTTAATAAAAACTGGTTTCAAGCAACGTCAGGCTCTCGTAATAATGCAAATCTCATTGCGTGTTTCATGACGCGACATGATTAAGGCGTTAAACACGAATTGGTTTTGTTATCTGTGGCGGTCAAAAATACAATAGACAATGTTTTTTCAATATAACTACTTACTCACCTGAATTATCTGTTGTCAATAATTTCGTATGTCTCACGATAGGGAATTTCGAAAAAAATGTTTTGTTAAATGTTAGGGAAAATATTTAGTTTTAATTCCGCGACAAAAATCCAGGCTTGTTGCAGGATGCAATCCCACTCCTATGCAATCATGCATATGCACATGCAGCAAGGGTCCCACCCTCCCGCCCACATGCATATGCACACATACACAAAACGGAAAAACATGCCACGCAATCAAACCTATACTCGACACGTGTTTCGCCCCTCCACAGGGCATCCTCAGGAGATGTTGACTCGACGAGCGCTCGGCTGCGAATGAGCTAGTACGACAGCTCTCGCCTCTTATATAGTGTCGTGATGACACATAATCGATACAAACGTCTTTGTGACGCCTGTATCGACTACACAATCGATACAATCGATACAAACGTCATTGTGACGCCTGCATCGACTACGATCTACCTGTAATCACACTTAAAAGAGGGGATGTAATTAAGTTTGTTTGCTCATTCAACAGTGTAAAATTACTATTATTATTATGTTTGGAGATTTCTAACTGCTCCAACACACACAACCGGAAATTTTTATCACAAACATGCAGAATAGTATACGTGTTATTGTCGCTCAAGGAATGGCCGGTGTCAATTAAATGTTTAGCGAAATGTGATTTGTCCGGATGGCCATTCCTGTAAGCGGCAATATGCTCCTTAAATCTAACCTCAAAATTACGGCCTGTCTGACCCACATAGACCCCGTTGCATTCGTTGCAAATTAATTTGTAAATACCGGATTTTTTTGAATTTTGTAATTTATCTTTACCGTTACAAAGATTACGTAAGTTGTGATCTGATCGAAAAGTAACGAAAACATTGTGTTTTTTAAGAATATTCGCGATTTTATCAGAAATGGGGCCTATGTAAGACAGACTACCGACATACTTGTTAATTCGTTCGGGGGTACATGCATAAAGTAGTGAGCGAGCCCTGTCATTCTGTTTTTTCTGAATAATATTATCGATGACTTGTTTTGAATACCCGTTTGAAATCGCGATTTGATATAATATTTTCAGTTCTTTGACATAATTATCTGTGGAAAGTGGGACTGACATTAACCGATGGACATAGCTGCGGAAGGCTGCTAGTTTGTGTTGTGATGGGTGACAAGAAGAAGCGGGAATTGTTGTGTCGGTATGAGTGGGTTTACGGTAAATTTGGAAATCGAGTTTGTTATTAACTCTAGTGATTGTTAAATCGAGAAAATTGAGGGATTGGTTGGACTCTAATTCTAATTTGAATTTAATTTTGGGGTGGAAAGTGTTAAGTTTATTAACAAAAATATTTAATTGACGAATAGTACCCGTCCAACAGATAATTATGTCGTCTACGTATCTATAATAAAACAGAATGTTGGGCTCGCCCACCACATATTTACACTCAAAGTAGTCCATAAATACTTCCGCCATTAAAGGACTCAATGGTGATCCCATTGCTAACCCCTCTTTTTGGCGAAAATATTCATTGTTAAAACAAAAATAATTTTGTTGCATGCAAATACGTGCATTACAAATATATCGGTCATTGCAAACTAAAATTAATCAAAATAATTTAATAATTACAAAAGCCGATAAAGGCAATACTGTAGTCATTTTAGATAAAACTGCTTACCACCAGAAGGTTAACGACGTTATCCAGGGGGAGGATTTCGAATGTCTTAGTTCCGACCCCACCAAAAAATTTACCGTTGAGTTGAAGAATGCTATTAATAACATGTCATGTATTTCTCCAGATCAGTTTAAATATAAAATCCCTATGAACCCGCGTTCTCCTTTTTTGTATGGCTTACCCAAAACTCATAAAGATAACATCCCAATTCGCCCCGTTGTCTCTTACATTGGTGCCCCAACATACGATGTGGCTAAATATCTCAATAACTTATTAAAAATTAAGTCTTCTTTTTCACCAAAACATAGCTTAAAAAATAGTTTAAATTTAATTGAAAAAATAAAAAATGTCAACATTCCTCCCAATTCAAAATTATTATCATTGGATGTTGACAGTTTATTTACAAATATTCCATTTGAAGAGTGCCTACGTATTTTGGGGAACCATTTGGAGAGACAACGTTTACACCCTGGAGAAATGCATGACCTTCTTGACCTCACACGTATTTGCATGCAACAAAATTATTTTTGTTTTAACAATGAATATTTTCGCCAAAAAGAGGGGTTAGCAATGGGATCACCATTGAGTCCTTTAATGGCGGAAGTATTTATGGACTACTTTGAGTGTAAATATGTGGTGGGCGAGCCCAACATTCTGTTTTATTATAGATACGTAGACGACATAATTATCTGTTGGACGGGTACTATTCGTCAATTAAATATTTTTGTTAATAAACTTAACACTTTCCACCCCAAAATTAAATTCAAATTAGAATTAGAGTCCAACCAATCCCTCAATTTTCTCGATTTAACAATCACTAGAGTTAATAACAAACTCGATTTCCAAATTTACCGTAAACCCACTCATACCGACACAACAATTCCCGCTTCTTCTTGTCACCCATCACAACACAAACTAGCAGCCTTCCGCAGCTATGTCCATCGGTTAATGTCAGTCCCACTTTCCACAGATAATTATGTCAAAGAACTGAAAATATTATATCAAATCGCGATTTCAAACGGGTATTCAAAACAAGTCATCGATAATATTATTCAGAAAAAACAGAATGACAGGGCTCGCTCACTACTTTATGCATGTACCCCCGAACGAATTAACAAGTATGTCGGTAGTCTGTCTTACATAGGCCCCATTTCTGATAAAATCGCGAATATTCTTAAAAAACACAATGTTTTCGTTACTTTTCGATCAGATCACAACTTACGTAATCTTTGTAACGGTAAAGATAAATTACAAAATTCAAAAAAATCCGGTATTTACAAATTAATTTGCAACGAATGCAACGGGGTCTATGTGGGTCAGACAGGCCGTAATTTTGAGGTTAGATTTAAGGAGCATATTGCCGCTTACAGGAATGGCCATCCGGACAAATCACATTTCGCTAAACATTTAATTGACACCGGCCATTCCTTGAGCGACAATAACACGTATACTATTCTGCATGTTTGTGATAAAAATTTCCGGTTGTGTGTGTTGGAGCAGTTAGAAATCTCCAAACATAATAATAATAGTAATTTTACACTGTTGAATGAGCAAACAAACTTAATTACATCCCCTCTTTTAAGTGTGATTACAGGTAGATCGTAGTCGATGCAGGCGTCACAATGACGTTTGTATCGATTGTATCGATTGTGTAGTCGATACAGGCGTCACAAAGACGTTTGTATCGATTATGTGTCATCACGACACTATATAAGAGGCGAGAGCTGTCGTACTAGCTCATTCGCAGCCGAGCGCTCGTCGAGTCAACATCTCCTGAGGATGCCCTGTGGAGGGGCGAAACACGTGTCGAGTATAGGTTTGATTGCGTGGCATGTTTTTCCGTTTTGTGTATGTGTGCATATGCATGTGGGCGGGAGGGTGGGACCCTTGCTGCATGTGCATATGCATGATTGCATAGGAGTGGGATTGCATCCTGCAACAAGCCTGGATTTTTGTC